CAGAAGAAGGGATGAAAGAAGGGACATGTGCGCCATGGGAAACAGGTGGGATCTGAGAGAGGCTGCGGGCTGCTTGATGGTGTATGTAGAACCTGACTCTCGTTCCTGGGATGTCCAGAGCTGTGAAGATGAGTGTCTTTTTCTCTATCACTGGGGGGGGTAGTGGAAGGCCAATGTTGTTGGGGTGTTGTTGGTCAATGTCAGGCTCTCTCCGCAGGAGAGGGAAGGGGGGGGGGGGGGTGTTGGTGGTCGGTATCCGTGAAGGCAGACAATTTTTGTGTTGCCTAGGGCAGCACAAAGCCTAAATACACTACTGACTGTATGGCCAAAAGTAGGTGGACAGCACTTCAAAAGTATTGAGTTCAGGTATTTCTGTTAATGCTATATGCTATAAAATAAAAACACATTTTAGATGATTTTGCTCTTCCAACCTCATGGTAACAGTTAGGTGAAGGCCCTTCTCTGTTTTACCATGACTAGTCCCCTGTGTACAAAGCCAGCTCCATAAAGACATGGTTTAAAGAGTTTGTTGTGGAGGAACTTGATGTCCTGCACAGAACCTTGACCTCAACCTTACTGAACATTTTTATGTTTCAATATTTTTATTGAGTTTTAAGGATAAACAGGGAAAAAACAGGGAAAAGAGATAAGGTTCAATCATACAACATTACAGTAGACAAATATGGCTGATCAATTTGTTGTAGATCTGCCCTCTGGACATACTAAACATTTTTGAGAAGACTTGGAATGCCAATTGTGAGCCAGTTCTTCTCATCCAACATCTGTACCTGATGGCTGAATCGGCACAAATTCCCATTCCTAAACTCTTGTGAAAAGCCAACCCATAATTTTGTGCATGGTTTTGGAAAGGGATATCCAACCAGCTCATAAAGGTTTGATGGTCAGGGGTCCAATATCTTCTGGTCATTAGCTATATTACGTGAAAATGTATTATGTATCACTTATGGCATGCAGCTGAAACATATCAAACAAGCATAACCACCATGGTGCTTGGAAAATGGCTCTTCTGCAAAAGAAGCAGGATATCTTACTGTATATACAGTACATACAAGAACGACACACCTCCAGGGCCGGACTTAGCCTGTCTGATTTGGGGGTGCAGTAAAACATGTCAGGGGGGCAGAGGATGCAAGGTTAGCAGGGCAGTGTATAGGAGTCAGTAGAGCCGTGTACAGGGGGTTGGCAGTTTGTAGGGCAGTGTTCAGGGGTTAGTATGGCAGAGGGGTCAACAGGACAGAAGATAGGTGTCAGCAGTGCAGAGGAGAGGGGTTAGCAGGGTACAGGGGTCAGCATGGCAGTAGACAGCGGTCAGCAGAGTTGAGGACAGGGTCACTGTTGGCAGGACACTTAAGAGATCTCCTCCCCACACAGCACATAGCTGAGATCAATATTCCTCCACACAATGTGTAGCTGGCTACTGCAGCTGCCAATCCAATCAGGGAATTTCACAGGTCAGAACTGCAACTGCAGCCAGCTACACATTGTACAGACCGATGCTGTGGGGAATCTGATCTCAGCTACGTGTTATGTGGGGGGAGGAGATCTGTTGAGTGCCTTGTGTGCAGTGCACAGTACCAGGACAAGGTCGCCCAGCACTCAAGGTGAAGATGACAAACTGCACCCCTCCCCCCCCCCAAAAAAACAGCACCAATCGGGTGCGGACTGACCATTTGTAAACTTGGGCACTGCCCGAGGGCCCGGGGTCAGTAGGGGGCCCCATGAGATGCCCCTGGTACCTTTTTCATAGGCTTTTTTGAGTTTGGGCAAGGACACAGGGGTCCCACGATCCCCTATTGCCCGGGGGCCCCATGAGTGGTCAGTCCGCCCCTGGTAATCAACACGGTCACCGCTAAGCATAAATTCCTTCTGCAAAGCCCAAATTCTACCAAAAAAAAAAAATGCAAAACTTCCCCATTCTCACAGTCCAATCCCCCCTTCCAGCTCAAATCCCCCCAATAACTAACAAATCTTCCATGCCCCAAAAATCACCCCTCCTAGCACACGTCCTCTTTCCTTCCAAATCCCCCCTCCTAGTACAAACCCCTCTCCCCCAAATTCCCCTTCCTAGTACAAATTCTCCCCCCAAATCCCCCCTCCTAGTACAAATTCTCTTCCTAATCCCCCCAGTACAAATCCCCACTCCCAGTTTAAATCCTTTACCAAATTTCCCCTTCTAGTACAAATCCCCCCTCCCCCCCCTCTCCTAGCACAATCCTCTCCCCAAATCCCCCATCCTAGTACAAATTCTCCCACTCCTAGCACAAACCCTCTCCCCCAAATCCCTACTCCTAGCGTAAATCCCCTTCTTGAATCTCCCCTCCTAGTAGAAATTCTCTCCCCAAATCACCCCTCGTAGTACATATATTTCCTCTAAATCCCCCCTCCTGGCACAAATCCTCCCCCCAGTACAAATCCCCCCCCCACAAAAATAATCCCCCCTCCTAGTAAAAATCACCCCTCCTAGTACTACAAATTCCCCCTATACCCCCTTCTAGTATAAATACGTCCCCACCAAAAAAAAAATCCTCTTTCTAGCACAACTGCCTACAAGTTACCCTTCCCAGCACAAATCCCTGCTTACCGAAATCACCCTAGTAGCACACATCACCCCCAGTTCCCCCCACCTAGCACTAATCCCCCCTCCCAAATCCTCCTCCTAGCACAATCCCCCCCCCCCCCCATTCTCCCCTTCTAGCACGAATCTTCCCTAATTCTGCCTCCTAACACATCCCCCCCCCCCCACGGGCGGACTGACCATTTGGGAACTCGGGCACTGCCCGAGGGCCCAGGGCCAGAAGGGGGCCCCATGAGATGCCCCTGGTACCTTTCATAGGCTTTTTTGAGTGTGGGCAAGGACACAGGGGCCCCATGATCCCCTATTGCCCGGGGGCCCCCATGAGTTGTCAGTCTGCCACTGCCCCCCCCCCCCCCCCCCCAACTACTCTTCCCAGCACAATCAGCCCCCCACTACCCCTCCTGCACAAGCTCTCCCTCCCTCAATCTTACAGGAGCAACAGTAGTGAGGAGCTCTCTGTGATCTCCACCTCCTGTCATAACAGCGATCCTCCATGCTGCAGGTTACATAGGATCGCTATTACATCTGACGGTACATGGCTTCATTACCCCCCCCCCCCCCATTTCCTCCAAAGACTGCTCAACTGTTGGAAATGTGGATGGGGGTCGGATGTAATAGCTATCCTATGTAATGTAGGATGTGCTCCTGTCTGGACTATTTTCTTTAGATAACTGTGGCTGGCCATGAGTAAAGGGATGGGGGATAAAGCTCAGCGGGCACAGCACCATGTAAATGGGAGGAGGGGGGTGCAACTGGAAATTGGGGGAGAACAGCCCAACCCAGCACCCCCGTAGATCCGGACATGCACACCTCCCTTCTTTCTCCTAGAGAAGATGGGATTGTCTTGATTAGTTAGTTTCCACAGGCAAAATAAACAGCCAACAGCAAAAAAAAAAATATTGTTGTATGAGCTTTTTACTGTATTTATATGCTTTTGGTTGTGTGTACTCAAGTATATATATCTTTTATTAGATAATACAATTAGCCCCTGAAGAAGCGATTGCTGTCACGAAACATGTTGGCCCAATTTTTCCAGCTCTAGAATGTCCCTCACCCCCCCCCCATAGGATCATCCTGGTGGTTTATTTTATGTCTTATCACGGGTTTTTGTTCCTTATATATGGTGGGCTTTGGTACATTGTTTGCGGGGACATTGTACAATGATCTTTAATTTGAATAGAAAATAATAGTATAGAGAAAAAAAATAGAATATATTAGAACAGAATAGAATAAAATAGAAAGACTATAGCTGTCTTCTGAAATTCGAATTTTGAAAAGAATAGAGTAAAACAGAATAGAACAGAAAAGAATAGAATAAAATAGAACAGAAAAGGATAGAATAAAATTGAATATAATAGAATATATTAGAACAGAATAGAATAAAACAGAAAGAATATAGCTGTCTTCTGAAATTCAAATTTCAAAAAGAATAGAGAAAAACAGATAGAACAGAAAAGAAGAGAATAAAATAGAACAGAAAAGGATAGAATAAAATTGAATATAATAGAATATATTAGAACAGAATAGAATAAAACAGAAAGAATATAGCTGTCTTCTGAAATTCCAATTTTCGAAAAGAATAGAGAAAAACAGAATAGAACACAATAGAATAGAAAAGAATATAATAAAGTAGAACAGAAAAGGATAGAATAAAATTGAATATAATAGAATATATTAGAACAGAATAGAATAGAATAAAATAGAAAGAATATAGCTGTCTTCTGAAATTCCAATTTCGAAAAGAATAGAGAAAAACAAATAGAACAGAATAGAAAAGAAAAGAATAGAATAAAATAGAACAGAAAAGAATAGAATAAAATAGAATATAATAAAAAGGAACAGAATAGAAAAGAATAGAATACAAAAAAACAATTGAATAGAATAGAGTAGAATAGACTAGAAAAGAATAGATTGAAAAATAAAAGTATAGAATAGAAAATAGTAGAGCGAATAGAATACGAAAAAAAAAAAAGATTAGAATATAATAGAATACAATAAAATAGAAAGAATAAAACCATCTTCCAAAATTAGATTATGGAATTTTTTTGTAGAATAAAAAGCAGATATTCATCACAATGAATTAGGATTGATTCGATATTTTCCATTTGAAATTTGATTTCAATACTTCGCATCCATTGGAATATTTTGAATCTGGTCGAAATCGAATAAACGAAAAAAAATTTCTTATGAATACAACAAAATGAAATTAGTAACTTGACAAATCCATCTGAAAAGAGATGAAAGTAATATTTTGGTTGTCACGTCTAGTACTTATTGCATACTTACAGCCTCGCCGTTTGTTCCACGCTCTCCTTTATCCCCATCCTGTCCTTTTGGGCCCTGCAGAAATACAATGCCAGATGTAAGAATGAAGGAAATAGATTCTTGCATGTATGCATGCGCAGCTTTTAACGTGTTAGTCCAGCTACATGTCCCTACCAGATTTCCCAAAGCAAGCTGGCCAAAGCCTACGGCCATTACAAAGTATTGGAAATGCAGTCAGTGCTGGATGCTCCCATAGGAGACCAACACATCCAGGACCAGGGGCGGACTGACCATTTGGAAACTTGGGCACTGCCCGAGGGCCCGGGGTCAGTAGGGGGCCCCATGAGATGCCCTTGGTACCTTTTTTATAGGCTTTTTTGAGTTTGGGCAATGACACAGGGGTCCCATGATCCCCTATTGCCCGGGGGCCCCATGAGTTGTCAGTCCGCCCCTGTCCAGGACTCATTCCCACTGCTGTGGTATAGGGCACAAAGTACATTGCCTGCAGAAATAGAACTGTTTTCCGTGAAGGCGGTTCACACTTCTTTGCCTCGGCTCATGATTGAAAGAACTGAAATCCAATGAAAGAAAGGAACAGTCAGACTGGGAAGAAAAGAGCTTGATGATAATGTACATCTTACAGCCAGGAACTGAGGCGGGCCCAACCTGACTTGTAGTGCACATTGTGAGAGGCTCACAGTGTGCAGTGAAGTCAAAGTAATCAATTTCTGTACAGGAAAGAGGTATGTACAGGAGTAAAGAGAAATGCCTATGTGACTCGCTCTTCTTTCATCTACATGACAATGGTGGTGCTGGTCACTGGCCCAGTGCTGGAAGAGAGGAGGGGATTGAAGGGGTGCTAGAGGAGAGAGGAGGGGAAGGGTGCTGGAGGAGCAGCCAGGAGAGGAGTGGAGGAGTGCTGGAGGAGAAAAGAGGAGAGAAGAGAAGGAGTGCAAGAAGAGAAAAGAGGAGAGAAGGGAAGGGGTTCTGGAGGAGAGAAGATGAGAGAAGGGGGTGAGTTCTGGAGGAGAGAAGAGGAGGGGTTCTGGAGGAGAGAAGAGGAGAGAAGGGGATGGGTTCTGGAGGAGAGAAGAGGAGAGAAGGAGAGGAGTTCTGGAGAAGAGGAGAGAAGGGGAGGGGTTCTGGAGGAGAGAAGAGGAGAGAGGAGGAGAGAAGGAGAGGAGTTCTGGAGAAGAGGAGAGAAGGTGAGGGGTTCTGGAGGAGAGAAGAGGAGAGAAGGGGAGGGGTTCTGGAGGAGAGAAGAGGAGAGAAGGGGAGGGGTTCTGGAGGATAGGAGAGGAGAAGACAGGAGGAGTTCTGGAGGAGAGAAGAGGAGAGAATGGGAGGGGTGCTAGAGGAGCAAAGAGGAGAGAAGGGGAGGAGTGCTGGAGGAGAGATGCAGATAAGAGAGGAGGGGAGGGGTTCTGGAGGGGAGGTGAAGAGAAAAGGGAAGGGGTGCTGGAGGAGAGAAGAGGTGAAGAGAGGAGGGGAGGTGTGCTGGAGGAGAACAAAGGAGAAGAGAGGAGGGGAGGGGTTCTGGAGGAGATGAGAAGAGAAGAGGGGAGGTGTGCTGGAGGGGAGAAGAGAGGAGAGGATGGGAGGTGTGCTGGAGGGGAGAAAAGGAGAAGAGAGGAGAGGAGTACTGGAGGGGAGAAGAGGAGAGGAGTGCTGGAGGGGAGGAGAGGAGAGGATGGCTGGAAGGGAGGAAATGAGAGGAGTGCTGGAGGGGAGAAGAGGAGATGATAGAAGAGAGGAGAGGAGTGGAATGATAGAGGGAAGAAGAGGGGAGGAGAGGAGAGGAGAGCAACAGGTTCACTTAACTGCCCCCCCCTTTCACCACTACACATCATTTTCCAGGAGTACAGAACAATGCTTCTTTAACAGTGGATGCAGACGTGTATTTATTAAAAAAGTAATTAAAAGCAATGTCATTGCCACTAGTAAAAGCACATTGAATCTGACTTTTTCTAGCCTATAATCATCCCCTGTATAGAAGAACGCAGAGTGGTGGAGGGAGGGGCCATACTTTGGGTCAGTCAAGTATCTCACATGCACATGTGCTAATCAGGGACATGCTGAATGGAGGAGGGAGCAGAGAGATGACCTCATCAGTCTGCTGGTGCCCCATCACTTCCCTACCACATGTTGGAGGTGGAGGTGACTTAGCTGTTTCAGGTCACAAAGCTGACTCCACAGTCTGGTGGGGCTGTGTAAATTTCAGGAACCATTGGGCAGAAAACCAAATCTATTGGCAGATACAGTAAATCCGCTCGGATATATATTATTTTAACTCTATATTTGGCAGTTTTCCTGGAGTTCAGCCTTAAAGAAATCTTCATTACTTGGCATCTTTCTGATCTTTGAAAAATGAAAACCAGCCGGGCAATAAACCTGCGAAGGATTTTCAGCCCTGTGTGGTCTTCTTAGCACGGTCATAACAGTCATTTGTTACTGGTGTGAATGTGAAGGTGTATTGCTCAGTCCAGCGTCCTCAGTACACCATGCACGTTCACAAAGGCTTTACTGCTCCCCGAGAATAATAAAACGACCCGGCAGGGTCCCTGATGAATATTAAAGCTGAACTCCAGGATCCAGCCAACTTTACACTCCTAACTCTCTACCCCCTACCCCCATTCACATTCAAAATGTTACATTTGTGTCTTACTTTTCCCGTAATCATGTTTTTCTGCCTCGTGATTCTATCATTTGTTGCCTACGATTGGACTGTGGCTAGACACTTGGAAAGGATCTATGGAGGTGTCGAGATCACTTCTGCTGTCATTATTTGGGGAATATCAGAACTATAACTCCTGTGAATCAATAGGAAGTGCGATGATGTCGTGGGTGTGTATGTAGCCCAGGGTTGTCCTTTGCTAAATGCCGAGATAGCTACCAATCGATGTCTGTGGTTGGGTTTTGAACAGATCATACCCCTCCCCCAATGAAGGAAGCATGATATCAGAACATCACTGCTCCTTTACCCTACCAGAGAGAAAAGACCTGTGGCACATCCCTGCACGTGCAGATTTCTGCACGTGCATTGGTCTATCAGTAAAACTGTCTCCTGGGATGTGTGATGTGGACATCCTAGGAGGCAGTGTGGGGGGGGGGTACATTATTCTCTCCTAGGCCAGAAAGCAGGAAGAGCTGAGCTACAGAACTAAGAAAGGAAAGAAAAATGTTAAAGAATGTGGAAACATGATCCAGTTGTGGAAGATGGAGAGGGAAGAACCAGGGGCAAAATAACTATAGTATATTGATGGGTGAAGGTCCACATGAATATGTGTCTGCCCCATTCAATCCCTGAGCAGCTACTTTCAGAGATATGGTCTGAGAAGATGATAAACCGTCTCTATCCTGGATCCCCCTCCCCGCAAGGAGACCTGAATTAAAAAAACTTCTGTTGGGGCCTGGCCTCAGCATTATGCTTAGAATAGGTAGCACAATGGAGGAGTATATATAAGGGCAGGTGGGGTTGGCTCACAATAGACAGTGAAAGGCTGTCTAGAGAGTCGGAGACATATCGCATGAGCAATCCCTAGAAACATCATCACTATTAGACCATTTACCTTAGGGAGATAGCTTTGGGAGATATGGAGTCGAAGAGGAGGGCTTTCATTCCTAAACCCCCCAGGGCACAAGACTCCTGACAGGAGCAAGGCACTCTTGTCTACCTAGGTTGAAGCCATGAAGCCAGGTGCCACCTGCTTCTTAGGAACCTGCCAAAGCCAGTCCTCCAAACACTTGGTGAGGGCTTTCCTGAAGAGGAACCCCTGACTGGGAAGAGGAAAAAAATCCAAAGGCCACAGATCCTATCTCTGACATCAGAGGGATCCCCCCTCCCTGCGAGTAGGCCTGAACTAAAATACTTCTGTTGGGGTCTGGCCTCAGGATTATTTGTGCACCTGAATGCTTTGAATAGGTAGCACCATGGAGAAGTCTATTTAAGGGCAAGTGGGGTTGGCTCACAATGGACAGTAAAAGGCTGTCTAGAGAGTCGGGGTCTTATCGCATGAGCAATCACTAGCAAAATTATTACTATTAGACCTTCTACCTTAGGGAGATAGTTTTCGGAGATATGGAGTCGCTCCCACTGCCCCCTTGCTAGTGAAGAGAATTTGGCAGTTTTTTGGAGCAATTCTATGGAGGTAAGTGGAGCTCTCCTAGGGTTTTTTTTTTTTTTTTTTAGCTCTGCGGTGTTGTGTTTGTCAAAACTCTGTGAACAAAAAAAGCGAACTGTGAAGTCGCAGCAGGCCAAAAAGTGCACAAGGGTACAGTAAGGGTCTGACTTCCGAAGAGGAGGGCCTTCATTCCTAAACCGCCCCAGAGAACAAGACTCCTGACAAGGGCAAGGCACTCTTGTCTACCTAGGCTGAAGCCAGGTGCAACCTGCTTCTTAGGAACCTGCCAAAGCCAGACCTACAAGCACTTGGTGAGGGTTTTCCTGAAGGGGAACCCTTGACTGGGAAGAGGAAAAAAATCTAAGGCCAGAGACAAGGGCGGACTGACAACTCATGGGGCCCCCGGGCAATAGTGGATCATGGGGCCCCTGTGTCCTTGCCCAAACTCAAAAAAGCCTATGAAAAAGGTACCAGGGGCATCTCATGGGGCCCCCTACTGACCCCGGCCCTCGGGCAGTGCCCGAGTTTCCAAATGTTCAGTCCGCCCCTGGCCACAGATCCACTCTCTGACATCAGGACAGGCCCTATTACCTGCATCTTCTGTCTCTCTGAGAGGACAAAAAAAAACCCGTGCAGTGTAAATACCCATGATAAATAGTGAAAAAATAAATAAAAAGTGCTATGTGCATTATATAAGGAGACCTTCTGTATAAAAATTGGTAGTCAAAAGGCCTGCCCAAAAAGAATGTGCAAGAATAGCAAAGGTGACAAGACCTAGTGCTGGCAAAACTCAGGTCCAAAACCCAAAGTGTTTTTTCTGGATCCCCTGGGATGCCACTGCTCAGGGGGCACATCACAAGGAGTTCCTTGCACCTCCCAGTCTCTGACCAGGCAAATGCAGCAGCCATCAATGTCTTTTGGCTAAAGATCAAGTGTAGCACCTAGTCTGATCAATTTTCGGGAACGAAACATTAGTTCCTCTATCCAAGGTGGGGCACTAGATAGTAACTGCTGATATAATAAGGTGGGTGCTTGGGGAGGGATCCTTTCCTCCCGGGTTGACTCTGGCTGAGGGCACCAGCCTTGTGCCTGGTTGTAGGCAGGCTCTCTCCAAGTGGTAATGCCTTTTTGGTAGTTACTAGAACAGCTTTGTCTGTCTAAAAGAACAAGTAGAGCTGGGCAACAAATAGACATTCTTGGTTTTTATAACTTGACCTCGTTCACACTTGCACCGACAGAACATCTGTTGTCCTGCACCAATCCTTCCATCGTAAACTGGAGCATTTGGAACGTTCTGGTTTTATGAC